GCTTCACGCATGAATTATAGAGAATTCACTCGTCACGTATATAAAAGAAAAAACTTCAAATATTTCTTCTTGTGTAAACAAGGTTGCGAGGAAATCTTGAGGTTTAGACGAAATGAAAAACATTCAATTGTCATATATATTTCTGGTGGCAAATCACGCTTCGCGCTGGTTTATAAATTCACGAATCACGCTGTCCTTTACGAAAAATTCACGCTTCACATATCTCAATACTCTGTTCAGCCTTATGCCTGAATAAAATAATTGTACCGAGTATGAAAGTATCAAAATGGATGCAGATGATTCTTTCAAGCTTTTCCTGATTTCACTGGCACAAAACTGACTTCAGGTGAAGCAGTCGGACAGCTCTTAACATGAGAACCAACATGACGACGCTGAAAACAATATACATGTTCTCTGTGCTTTTCCTGTATATATTTCCAAGGGTGCTGACAAGAAAAGTGTGTTTACACAATCAAAAGCTTCTTTGGTTGTTGATCATTTCCTGCTTTCTCCTGACCTTAAAATGTGATTCACGGGTGATATTGTAAGGAGAAATTAGATGCTCTTAAGGGTCAAAGGGTTAAAATGATTCTTTTTCTGCCTCAGACAGTCAATGGCTACCGCAACACCGACAGTTTCATCCACAAAGGGGACAACCAACTACGCTCGCTTGTGTCGTCTGCTGGTTGATGCTGGTACCCAGGCCCTTAGAGACACATTTGATGCCATCCATTCACCAGCAAATCTTCACACAGTTTTGGCAGCCAATAAGGCAACTTTACAGTCGCTGAGAAAGAAAAAGGTTATGAACGCGACGCAGTGGGGAAAGCTCTTTCCTGTTATTCCATCCTCAGTGTCTTCAAGAGACTTTGATATCACGCTTTTGATGGTTCTACTTCGAAACTTATGCGGCTTACCTTCTCCCGCAGCAGGCTGGGATACACTTCCTGCTGTAACAGATGTGAGTCGTGAAGCTGATATCGCTCGTGTTAAGTATTACAGGAACACTGTGTACGGTCACGCCGAGTGCGCCTCAGTTGATGATTCGATGTTTAACGCATGCTGGGGCGACATCCGGGACACTCTAGTAAGACTTGGAGGGGTGAAGTACAAAGCAGCTATTGACAATCTTGCAACTGAGTGTATGGACCCTGAAGTTGAAGATCACTGCAAAGAACTCCTTAGCCAGTGGAAGAAAGACGAAGACAACGTTAAAGATAAACTGGATGAGGTAATTGAAAAGCTAGTTGAATTGAAAACATTAAGCATGACGCAAAGAGAGAATCCCGAAAATGAAGGTCAGCTTTTTGTAATGCAAGTTTTTTGTTTCACTTATTTCTTTGAATGACTGCGAATATATAGTTATCATAAATGCTGCGGATAAATATGACAGATTGAGAGTGACCTTCACAGTAGTGAACACTAAATAAGCAGTAGTGAAAATAAGGCCTGAAAAAAAATACAGTTCTGTACGGGAGTTGAACCCATGACCTCTGCGTTGCCAGTGTAGTGCTTTACAAACTGAGCTAATAAGCTGACTGGGAGCTAGTTATTTGGTTGGTTCGGATTAAACCCGTGATACTCAAGCACATTTAAATATCCGCAGTTCACATTTATGATATTCATATATTCACGTGTACAGTCATTCATACATCAGTTCACGGGCTTATTACGGGTTTCATAAGCATAGCTTTCTACTCGAGCCCGGGACCTCCTTGCGTTCTTAACACTCACTCACAGATGTCGACCACAAACATCGAATTTGATCCAACCACTCATTAATTATTTATAGTAATATACAGAGGAAAGTAACGATCATTTGAAACGTTTATTTTCATGTTATACTAGAGGGTGAACCGCTTGTGTCGAAAGACCAGGAGAGCTCTGCCATGTGTAAAGAGAGACATAACGAAACCGAGCCACTCGATTACTATTGTACGAACTGTTAAGTTTGCATTTGCGACAAGTGTGGAAAAACTCGTCACACTCATCACACCAAAGTGAGTATACAACAGGCTACTGAGGAAGAAAAACAGAGGATGGTGAAGATTGTGGAACAAGTAAAAATACAAATTACTGAGCTTGAGACGCAAATGGAAACAACGACAAGACTATTTGCAATAAGCAAAGAAAAAATTTCTGCAGCTCGTAGTTATGCACAGACAACTGCTGAAGAACTCATTCGTTTTTTGAAGGAGCACGAGAAGTGCGTTGTTACCGAGTTAGACGTTATTGAAAAAAGACAAGAAATAGACTATGCAACACAATTAGAAAGCATGCAAGCAGCAGTCAACGAATTGAAATGTTCTGTGAAAAATTGTGAGGAAATCCTACACAGAGACGTTAGCTTAGAAACTCTACAATCACAAACAAGTGACACTAAAAAATGTAAAAGTGTTCTGAAAGAAACAAAAATGGACATTTATGAGCCCTGTCATGTCCACTACCAATTATTTGAGGAGTACATTCGAGCGATGAAAGGCGGAACTCCTGGCGACTTACTGTATAGCAAAACGGATCCTTCAAGGTCATTTGTCAGAGATAATGACTTAAAACAACCTGAAGCTGGACGAACGAAGGATTTTGACCTCGTTACAATTGACTCAGAAGGGGAACAATGCTACCATGAAATCGATGAAATCAAAGTGACAGTTCGGAGTCCGACGGGAATGGTTCTCGACAGCAAGACTGATAGCTGGATGCCACGTGGGACGTACAGAGTCAGGTACACACCAGCATGTGATGGAGAACATGAGGTGACAGTTTTAGTTAATAATCAACCAATTTCTGGTAGTCCGTGGAATGTAAGCGTGACTCCGCATAAATATAGTTTCTTTCATTACTTCGGGTTACCAGAGAAAGCACGCAAACAATTCAAAGAACCCTGCGCTGTTGCAGTAGACAAAAACAAAATGACAATAGCAGTAGCTGATAGAAAGGAACAAAGGGTGCAACTGTATGATTTTTGTAATTCAGGGCATCTTTCAGATCTCGGTGAGAAGGGACCAGCGGCTATAAGACTAACTGACCCCACCTCGGTTGCATTCACCCAATCTGGTGACGTCATTGTCATTGCCTCTGGTACCATGTTTTGCTTTACTGTTAGGGGTAATTTTCTTGGATGTATTAACAACAGAAAACTCCAGCTTCCATTTTCATTGAGTGTTACCAGCGAAGGCCGCCTCGTGGTGTGCGATACCGGTGACAACTCAGTCAAGGTCCTCTCCCCTGATGGAACAAAACTGTTACAGTCCTTTAGTGATCCAGACTGTGATGACTCCCCGTGGAAAGCTGTTTTTCACCAAGATATGTTCTTCGTGTCTTACCCCGAAGCTCATTGTGTTAAAACATTTAATAAGGACGGGGACTTTCTCTATGATATTGGCAAAGAAGATGCAGTTGAAGGACAATTGAGTCAACCTCGTGGACTCGCTATTGACACCTTTAACAACCTGGTGGTTTGTGACAAGAAAAAAAAGACGTTGAATGTCTTCAAACTGGATGGAACATTCTTGAACACGGCCACTAATAATAATATCCTCAGCTGTCCTTCGTCTGTTGCTGCCCTCTCGACTAATGAATCCCCGTGGCTTATCATTGCTGATTCCAAAAGCAAATGCGTCGTGATGTTTGATTAAGTGACAATCAAATTTTTATTTGAATTTGTAGTGTTCTGATTGGTTAATTTAATCTCGTATCTGATTACCTCATGAGCTTTGAATTTACCATACATGGTAAATGATTGCACTGTGTTTCACAAAGTTGATCTTTCTTTCTTCCCGCGGAAAGAGAGCGTTTCCATAGACAGTGCAATGGCCCGCGGAGGCACTCGATGGGCATGGTTTATCGTTGCTGATCCCGGAAAAAGTGCGTCACTATGTTTAAGTAACTAAAATAATCAAACTTTAATTTGTAGCGTTCTGATTGCTTCATTCAATTCTGGTTCTTAGTTCGTCAGCCATAGATTGGCCATATGTGGTATGATATTCAGTGTCTTTTGCCCTTTTTGTCACTGACCCGCGAGGAAAGAAGCCTTATTTTATCGGCTGAAAAAAGAATGAAAGTACAATACCCAGTTATTTACCCTGATGACAGGCTGCCCAAGTGTGCTTTGTGTGATTTTGGGGTCTAAAAGGTTATTGACAGGAATACCCAACATTTGAAGATTGAATTTTAAGCTTAAGCGTATGCCGCAAAAAAAGAGGGGGGAAATGAAAAATATAGGAAAAAAAATAGAAAGGTTATTAAAAGCGAGAAATATGACGGTTAATGTCTCCTTACCTTTTTCCGCCGTCGCCTTGTCGCTTACGGTCGTTTTAATGCTATTTTGGCGACTTCCCTCGTACCGTGTGTTGCGCTACTATACTAGTATTATATAAATTTCAAAGTTACGAAATAAGAAAACAGAGAGGGCGTTGCCGTAGTAATTCTACTGACCCCACCCCGTTTTCCTCTTTACTTTTTAGATCGTCTTATACGGCGGGGCGGTAAGAGTTACAATTCGTCCTCAGGGAAGGAAAAACCGCCTTAGGAACGAGATCGGTTCGACTATAGCACATTTAGGAACTGTTAAGTTAAGCCGCAGCCCGAAATGAGAACGACTGGTTTTCGCTTACCTAGTTTCTTTAAACTGCGCTTAGTACTCAAGTTTTGAGCATCAGTGATTGTTATTCTCATGCTCTGATTAGCTTTCGGAGTTCCAACCTGTGGCCAGTCTGCCTGTGAGTCTTCATACTTCTTAATGAAAATATAAATGATTAAGTAGTATAATGAATTAGTCCGCCTTTACTTATGAATGGCAACTTCCATGGTCCTCATGTGTTTAGGTTGAGGTTATGTCTGGAATATTTTTCTCAGACATTTTGTGATAGATTAGACATTGCGTGACGAACTGCATGAAGTACAACTCGGATGCGCTTCAGAACAATAAATGTTGAGAATAACCGTTGGTTGAAGCTATTAATCCGCGAAAGAGAAGAGAAAGCGACTCCTCATCCCCTTCTCAATCTCCCTTGTGGTAATCGGTGAACGAGGTCGCCTGATCAGTCGATTTATGACATGGCAGATTTGCATGTATAGTGTTTTATTCGGCCATGTCACTTAAGTGTACGATGGCAATGGCCATATCTGCGTATGGCAAAAAGTTAGATTGTTTTAACAAGTAAAACAAAGTTTAAGGCGTTATCACAACTGTGTTAGACATGTCCTGTCCTTGTGTGACAAGATACGATCATTTATGGGATTAGGCTGAGTTAGCGTGACAATTGGTTGCCTAGCGATCGGCACTTCTAACTAACCAATTAGCACACCAGGTCAAGCCTTGTTACAAACCTAACATGAACGATGTTAACCAGCACTGGTGAGGTGGTGAAAGGTCCTCCGCCACTAAGCAAAGCTTGGAGATGTAGTTCTATTTCCTTCCTTTCTTGGTTTATTTTAATTCCTTGGGACACATTTCTTAATAAAAACCTACTTTTCTTAATCTTGGCGTAACTTTTTTCCGCCTTTTTTACTTCAAAATCTTTAAGTACAAACACTTCCCCACTGGGTAGTTCTGGGTAATCCAGTCGACAGCATGTGACACAAGAGATAAAACTAAGCTAGGGCTAAGGTTCGAATTTGCTAAATTACTATGCGTAAATTATTTCCTCGAAGACGAATACCTAACGTTTACTTCATCAAAGAAGTTCATCCAAAGTTTACTCGTTTCTTTGTGGAACGCGCCGTTGTTGTTAAATTAGAAGGGAAACCTTATGTAACTACTATTTTACAGAGTGAATAACTTCCTGTGTGAGGAGAGCTTCGAATTCACCGAATCTGGAGTTTGAATTAGTGCTCATAGGACAATTGTGATTTGCAGGTTTGATATATTTCTTTTTACACCCCCAAATATTATTTTTGAAATGAATGAGTTATCTCTCAAATAAAACCTTATAGTGCTGTCGTGAAGTTCGATCAACTCTTTAAGACTTAAGCGCCGTGGTGCTAAATCGATGCTAAATATGACCAAATTATTTTCATTTAGTTCGTGTTCTCGCTTACCCTCGAAGTACTGAGCATTTCTGTAATGCTGATGTCCGTGGTCCTTCGGATTTCATTTATTTCATCGGGATTCGTGTTGAATTCGTCGTTTATAATCAGCCTGCGACAAGGTCGCATCGCATTTATAGCTTATCTATCAGTTTCAAGAGAGTGAACCTTCTCCTGACACATTACCAACAATTACTGTGGACGTTCTTTCATCTTTCTTTGCCGGCACCATTCGTAGGCTAAATTGTTTCAGCCATAGCTATAAATTGTCTCTTTGAATCACTTATCTCAGACAAATATCACTTAGTTTAAAGAGCTAAGTACGGTTAGTGAGAAAATCGAATGGCACCTGTCGTAACGTTCATTTCGAATTTGGTGTTATTATAATTAAGAAATTTCAACCACAATCTACTCGTAATATAGAGTCCAGTCAGTTTATCGTTCGAACAATGTTATATTTGGACATGACAGTCTTCGCTGGACAAAGCAAACGTTGTAATTCTGTTTTAGACCCAATCAACTTTGATAAACTACGTGAGACTTACACCTTGATCAAATAACTATTTACAATCTTTTCGTCCTCCCTCGCCTTTGAAGTCCCAAGTATCTGTATTGAGCTGGTGTCCATGACACTGTAATTTCACTCATATTTCTGGATTCGAACTCAGTCTCTAGTCTATAATGAAACCGTTTTTACGTCGTGTTTACACTCCAACCTAAAAATCTGTTACAAGTTGAGAAATCTCTCAGCACTCTACCGTGCATAGCCTCATCTGTAGGCCAAGACGTTCTTGAATTTTGCTGTTTGAACATAATCGTCATGCAGTGATGTTAAACACCAATCCTGCTACCGCATGTTTACAGGGCATGCTTCTCGGGTAGGAATCGATTACATTGCTCGACCTCACTCCGCATATCAAGCAATTTAACAAAATGGCGGCTTTAATTTGTTATGACTGAAGCTTCTCAGTGAGATGAGTTGTGATTTGTTTCATAAACAAACACAGTAGCCTTCTTCCTCTTTATTCAGCTGTTTTATTTAGTCTAATGGGTACACGAATTGAGGTCTTGTGTTGTAATCAGCTTATTTGATACATTATGTACGAGAATATTTAAAACCGTGAAAATGAGTGGAAATTATTCAAAACTAGTAACTCGATTGACTAAAGGAGTGATTGACTGGCCAGAAAATATTTACAATATCTATATGTGAATATCTATTATTCTTTATTTCCGGGCGAGGAAGCTCATTTACTGTTAAAAGAGAAAGCTTTGTATAAATTTACAAATTGTGGACCTTTTTTAACACGTGGAGAATGAAAATTTGTTTTATTTACGAACAGATCTCACAACTTCTTGGATTTTTGGAAGTGAATCTTTTTCCCTACCATTTTTCTTATAGGTTGTACTGATTTGCATTTGTCGAAACATACCAAAATAAATACTTCACTCGAAGGCTATTCACAGGTGAAACAAATCTGACCGAGGTAAGACTTTGAAAAGGCGCTTATCCGTGGTGCTGGTGGTGGAATCCTTCCGATTTTACTTTAATTCTCATTTTGTAGAGGGCCTGGTCAAGCAAGCCCTATAGCTGATCAAAATCTCCTTAGAGCAACTTCATGGTTTGCTTTAATACTTCAATTAAGTGGTAAGAACTTTAAAAAAAAAAAACCTTTTGCCATCTCCTTCCCATACAGTGCGTTACGTACCCGTACCATTTGATTATCAAATCCGGGGTGCTAAAATTAAACTTAACTTAAGTAAATTATAGTAAACGCGATAAAAACAGACACAAGACGAGGTATGAAGAGAAATAAATTGATGGCCAGTTAAAAAGAAATCGAAAAATTCGAATGATGACCAAATTGATCCTTAAAATTGTTGCTCAAGCAAGAAATGAATTTAACAATGCGTTAAAATTCTGCCTAATAAGATGCACGGGACTAAACCAGGGGCGAAATAACTCACGAGGTAATTGCGTGACAAAAAGAAAGGCAAAATCCAGTGAGGCCTGTAAAACCTCAAAACGTGGTTAATTGGCCGCCAAATACGCGAAAAACAAATTGAAGACAAGGATTAAAATCGCTACATGGCGGGAAAAACATTTTCCATATCTGAAATTGGCATCGTCGATATTAAGACTTTGAAGCCGTGTTATTTCCAGTTGAGTATTCTCCTCGGTTGCTATTCGTTTTTAAGGTCTACAGAGGTGTATTTGGATGATGGGGGAACGAAAAGTAAAAATCACCTTGATCATTTAAGCGTATGGCTCGACCACGCAAAAGACATCATTTCGAATTACAGTTGTTGATAACTCCTTGTGCTCAGGCGAAAATGTCTGCATGCACCCCAACCCAGATATATGAACAGGAGCTGGTTTGCTTCTGTACCCAAAGTCGCGCTATTAAGAGGGGGAGGCAGGGTATAACGCGCGTTTAATCCAAGTTGTGATGCTAAAATTAGTTGTCTAACACGTACAATGAATTATCGACAAGACGAACGTGTGAGTAAGTTTTAAGTCCATACGTAAACCTCATAGTATGACTACGTAGTCATACTCTGAGGCAAAGAGGTTTCTTCTCTGCCTTAGGTTTCCTATGGCTAACGCAGCACCAACAGGTTTTTCGACAAGGGAGACCACAAACTACGCTCGCTTGTGTCGTCTGCTGATTGATGTTGCCACCCAGGTCCTCAGAGACACATTTGATGCCATCCATCCACCAGCAAATCTTCACATAGTTTTAGCAGCAAACAAAGCGACGATATTAATGCCACTGAGAACAAGAAAAGTTCTAAACGCGACTCAGTGGAGAAAGCTCTTTCCAACCAATCCTTCCTCAGTTTCATCTGAAAATTTCGATATCACCCTTTTGATGATCCTGCTACGAAACTTATGTAGCTTACCTTCTCCCGCAGCAGGCTGGGATACACTTCCTGCCGTAACAGATGTGAGTCGCGAAGCTGATATCGCTCGTGTTAAATATTACAGAAACACTGTGTATGGCCATGCTAAGTGCGCCTCAGTTGATGATCCGACGTTCAACACATACTGGCGCGACATCCGGGACACTTTATTGAGACTTGGAGGTGCAACTCGGTACAAATCAACCATTGACAAGCTTGAAACTGAGTGCATGGACCCTGAAAATGAATATCACTACAAAGAAGCTCTCAGCCAGTGGAAGAAAGACGAAGAAAACGTTATAGATAAACTGGATGAAGTCATCAAAAGACTGGATGATNGCCAGCCTGGAGAAGAAGCTTTCTATCTTGCTTTCTTTAAAATATTCAACACCTTCAGAAGAGGAGGAGGTAGCGGGAGTTGAATGGAAAGAATTTGAAGATGAAGTAGAGCTTCTAAACTCTATCCATGCGCACATTGGTTTGAAACACCCTATTATCTATGACGCTTTCAATGCTTGTGAACTCCCGCTGCCTCCTCCTCTTCTGAAGGTGTTGAATGTTTTCGAGTGGACGCCAGCCTGGAGAAGAAGCTTTCTATCTGGCTTTCTTTAAAATATTCAACACCTTCAGAAGAAGAGGCAGCGGAAGTTTAATGGAAAGAATTTGAAGATGAAGTAGAGCTTCTAAACTCTATCCATGCGCACATTGGTTTGAAACACCCCGGTATCTATGACACTTTCAATGTTTGGAAGATGCACAGGATTACAGTGCTAGTATACAAATACTCGGTGCCGCTGAATCGTCATTCACAATGAATGCCCTAAATTCCTACAGACTCGCACCCGGAAAGAAATCCTTGGAATCCTTGGACCTTCGGACAATAAAACCTGACTTACAGACATTCTCATTCTACAGTATTAGTAAGTGCACTGAGCTGTTCATTTGCGATTATTTTGTGATTCATTGTGGATAATTACGAATGCAAATTACCGAAAGCAGCGCCGTACAGGTATGTGAAAATTACACATTTCTCCTTCACTTTATTTTTTTCCTTCGATAATAGCCATGGATATTTTTAAAGAATATAGTGTTCTTATGCACGATTGTTGAGTGTGTGTAACTCCTGATATCTAGTTTTGTCCCAGTACTGAGAAATTGCAATTTAAAAAGTACCACTTTTCGGCTTAGTCAAGTAGTGGCGTATTTGACGTAACGACAGTGTGACATTTATCCAGATACTCTACCTTTGTGGTCACACTTGGAAAGTTGATGTATTAAACTGTTGTATTCCAGAATATGTCTCGTACTGAATCATTTTTGACAGCGTGAGATCCTACTAAAGATTGCTCATTTTGTGCACACAAATTATGCCAATTTCACAATTTGATCTACGTGCGGAAAATTGTTAAAAAATAAAAAACTTTTGAAATCTGAAGGAAACCACTTTTGTTCCGATGATAGGCAATGGTTTCCTCATCCACATGCAAAGTTTAAGGGAAAATTTATTTTTGAACCAATTCCGAGTGGTCGGAAATTACAGAGACACGCTCTTAATAATGTACTAAGTCGCTTGTACATGTTTAGCTCACAATTAAAGTGTACCTCGTAGAACTGGAGTAGTACTACAGTACAACACACGGCTGAAAATAGGTGCACCCTCTTCTTTTTCAGCAAGGAACACTCGCGATCTTTTTACGTTCTCAGCTGGTTCTCCTGTGGTTGCCTGTTTTTCAGTATAGATATCACATAGTTCTCTAAAGCAAGCCATACTCACCATTAATTCTTGAAGTTAGTTATTTTTTTTTACTTGAAACAGCCTATCATTAACTCACATGGTGCATTTATAGCTATAAGTCCTTTGTGCTCATTTGTTATTGGGTGAGGGGTGGGGAAGTCAGTCAGTCAGTCAGTCAGTCATTCAGTCAGTCAGTCAGTCAGTCAGTCAGTCATTCAGTCAGTCACTCAGTCGGTCAGTCAATCAGTCAGTCATTCAGTCAGTCAGTCAGTCTTTCAGTCAGTCATTCAGTCAGTCAGTCAGTTACTCAGTCAGTCATTCAGTCAGTCAGTCAGTCAGTCATTCAGTCAGTCAGTCATTCAGTCAGTCAGTCACACAGTCAGTCAGTCAGTCATTCAGTCAGTCAGTCATTCAGTCAGTCAGTCAGTCAGTCA